ATGCCTATTTTTAACGTGCGACGGCTCGAAAAGTTTCACGGAATGATTGTCGCACATTTTAAAGAGAATAATGTAGAGCTGAATGAGAATATTAGAAAAGACTTTCATATTGTCTTTTTGAACATATATTTTATAGACTATCAACATATCGAGAAGTGATTAATATAAGCTGGCTAGCGGTCGTAGGGGATTTGAAGCACGACGTACCCATTCGTGATCTGATACGGTTGCGTGCCCAAGCGCCTTCAGTTAGGTTAGTCCATTAAAACTAATGCGATCAGCATCAATGCAGAATGCCTACAGAACTATTGGTTTTGGGGATTTTTTTACAGCTGCAAATCGCTCCCCTCTAGTATGGTGGTGTTGGCCCTAAGACGTGGCCAGTGAGAAGTTTGAACTCAACTAGCTTGTCGTTTGTACACACTCTTCTGATAGCTCGTTACGTTCAGCAGTGTCTGGACGTCTTTCTTCTCTATAAGGGGTCATGTAGTACAATATCATAATGAACAACAGATAAGGTGAAAATTCATCCGTTTTCGTTCTTTTCAGTTGTCCTGGAAAAAAAGACATATGAGTGCATGTCTAGTTACATTTGTACGTTCGTAAAGACGCAATGCGGGTGAAAAAGGAAAACAAACCTATGTACATGCGTTTCGTAAACATACAATAGCGTAAAACCGATTTTAACAGAATGCTGACGTTGTTGTAAGTCCCGTTTTTGTCGATGTTAAAGTATTTGCGTTTGCAAAGAAGGACCTTCAAGGGTCCTTCGTATGTCACTTTGAGAGGTTGTTGTAATGAGTCGCGACGTAAGAACATGTGTACTATGTCGTAAGACGGGTCAAACGGAAACATCATTTGATCGCGCTCCAGTGGAAACAGTTTAGATGAACGCACGGTGTTTGTATGTTCGTTGGTGAAGTTTAAATCCATATTCATTGAAGAAGAATGATCCAATAATTCTCCTACAAGTCGGAGTATCGTTCCATAAACGGGTCGAGCTGCAGTGTATCGAATGTCAGCTTTCAGTGCATTGCGAATACCGAGTGTAGAATGTAGAAGATCGTCTGTTCATTGTAAAACGATTGCAGCTGAAAGTGATGCTTTAAACTACCGGTGACAGTGTTCTATCGGTCCGTTTGCCTATGGGTGGTAAGTGGTTGTTCGGAAGCCAGTGATTCCCAACAGTGTGGTCAGACAACGGGAAATTCCAGATTCAAACTGGTGTCCAAGGTCTGTAGTGTTAGTTGGAGGATGGTCAAAGTTTGCTACGCATCGTACGAAAAAGGCGTGGGCTTCTATTTCAGCAGTAATGTCCTTGATATGTACTGCTTCTGACCATCGTGTGAAACAGTCTAAACTCGTTAATAGGTGAAAGTTTCCAGTTGAATATATTATTAGTCCTACCTAATCAAAATGAACATGATCGAAACGAGCGTCGTGAGGTATGAAGGAGCTTGCAAATCGCTTTAGATTTCTGAAAGTTTACACAGGGGCGTTCCCGCTCTCCTATATCTTTTTTCAAACCAGACCAATAAAACCTTTTCGCGATGAGCTTGAAATTGCACGAACACCTGATTGAGTAAGTTTGTGCAGCGTATTGAAGACGTTGCGTCGACAATGTCTCGGCACGACTGGACGATCCCTGCCCGTAGATGAGACAGGTAGTAAGGTTTAACGACCTGTTCCCACCTGTTTAATATTTAGTTTTAGGATTGTGGAAGGCAACTCGTGCTGAAGATCAGTGTCTTCTTTTTGAAGCTGGACGAATTTAAGGAGGTCAATTCATTGAAAACTGTTCAAGGAGTTTATTTGAGACAAGGCGTCTGCAACTACATTGTTTGTCTTGGAAAAGTGTTGTATACCTGGAGTGAACTGAGATTTCTCGAGACTCTCGAGTTGAGTACTTGTCTGAAAGCAAGCTTAGGGAGAGGTTGTGGGGTTTATGGCCGATGAACAGAGTGAATTCTTGGTCTTCCACGGAGTGTTGAAAGTGTCGTACAAAACAACAAATAACTAAATGTTCCCTACCGAAAGTGCCATACCTCAATTCAGTGTCTAGCTATCGTCTCCGGAAGAATGCCAAAGGTTGTCAGGTGTGATCGATCCACTGTTGTTAGGCCCCTCCGACTGCCTAGCCGGGTGTGTCTGCTGAGATACTAATGGGTGCCTGGGTGTCCTGATGTGCGAACGTTGTCGCTTGGGCGATAAGTCCCTCAGTTGTGGGGTATGCTTTTTCAGCGATGTCTCTCAAATCGATCAATTCTGCACTTCCATGAAGTTGGTCTGTTAAATGTTTCGTGAGAGTCGCGTGGTCCGGTGTAACCCGTCGATAGAAACTTTTTAGGCAGCTGAACGTGCGTAATTGCTTGATTGTGGTCGGTTCTGGGTATCCAGCGTGGCCGCCACTTTATTTTTTAGAGGTTGAATGCCTTGAGCATCAATAGTGTATCCGACAAGATCTAGGGATTTCTAGCTGATCTTACATTTTTAAGTATTAACATTAATGCCGTGTTTTTACGGTCGTTCGAAAACAAAGTTCAGATGCCGGAGATGAGATTCTCTTTTTGGATGTGCGATCAAGTGGTCACCAACACACTCATGTAAGAATTTTAGACCTCGGAAAATGTCATCGACGAATCTGTAGAAAGTTTGTGCAGCACTTTTTAAGCCGAATGAATGGCGCGAAAATTCGTGGAGTTCAGAGGAGGTGATGATAATGATTCTGTGAATGTTTTCTAAAGCCATAGGAATTTGAACATATGGTTTAATCAGGTCGACTTTCAATGAAACAGTTTCACTTTTTAAAGTAGCTGTCAAATCGTAAGTGCGCCGCAAAAAGGAATGATTGGGAGTGGTTTTTATATCCGCTTGCCCATAATCATCAGTTGGACGCTTATTGTTTCTATCCCTTTCAGGGACTATGGGCGAAGCAAATGCCCATGAGCTGTTCAGTGGCTGAATAATTCCCAAGTCTATCATGTGCTCAGATTTGTTTTCGGTCATGTAGTCGTAATATGGTGTGTAGCTTTGATGGATAAACACGACATTTTCGATAGAGCTTTGTAAATTTTGGGGTACCTGTTGAGTGTCCGTTGGAAGTATGGATCGATTATACACTTGAACTTGACTGGGATAATTTTCAGCCAGAAGAGGAAGAAGTTACACAAACAGATGATTTGGAATTGTCGCCTACTGACTTCCGCTTGTTGATGAGTTGATTATAGTGCTGTAGCAGGTATTTACAAATGATCAGAGTGGAAACATCTGCAACAACGAAGACCTAGTGAGTTTGTTTGCGTAAACTGATTATAAGACAAGCGTATCGCTTGCCATATGGGGCGATTGGTTTCTCATTTTACCACCTGTAATTCGATAATCGGTTTATGCAGATAGTCGCTAGAACTGCGGAAAGAACGTTAAATTCTGAGCCAGTGTCAGCGAGATTGCGAACCTTCGTAATCACATCAGTGATGTATGACAGACGGCTATGTTCGCCGACAACGGTTGCCGTTGACGCATATCGGTCGGTTTACGGCTCAGGGAAACCGCAGGCTTTTCTACAATTCCGGGAAGACTTTCCGCACCAATTTGATACAAGAACCAATCAAGCTTATCTGTCTCTCGTGATCTAGAGACAGATCATTTCGTGAGGACATAAGGACACTTTGGGAGCGTCTACAGTCATGACGAATATTGAGGTAACGTGTCACAGTATGACAGAGTTTTGTAACGTAATTTCGTGTCGTCTGAGTTCTTCCTTTGACTGGAAAGATCTCGGCGTTGTAAGTTCCGGTAAGCTCAAGAATTCGGTTGGCAAATGAAGCCAATTCGTCTACAGCGTAGTTATGAAATGATACAAGCACTGCCTGCACCTATTGGGAAAGATTATACATGAAAAGCTGTTTAAACAGACCCTCGTCAAACGTCCAATGACCAATGAATTCTCGCATACGCAGCAACATTTCTGTTGTTGAATGTTGAAGAAAAGTTGATTCAACCTTTGTCGGTCAGATAGGTCTCCAAGTTTAAGGATAGACTTCGTTAAAGTGTCGTAGGGTTCAGAAACATCACCAGTAAATATATGTTTGATTAACCTGTTAAAATAGCGCGGTGATGCCCTAATTGCAGAGTAGAACCGTGCATTGGAGCCGTGCTATTAAAGGTAATCTTCTACGTGGCAGAACCAGTTTTCCATATTTTCGGGTCAGAACGGCATGAGTTGAAGGGTGAGAGGCTATAGCTTTTTTGATCTTAAATAATTTAGGCGTCTGTTTGGCCATTATGAATATAAGGTATGTCAATGAACGGGAAAAACGCTACAAAAATACTAAAGGATATCATGATATGTAAGAATCGAAGTAAAATGATATAATAAGTTTCGAAAATGAGCGGACTCATAGATTATTGTTTGGTTTGCCAAATGAGTTTGAGCTCCCCACCAAAGATGATACAAGTATTCGGAGTTTGACAACACCTTTACGCGCGCCACTTTATAATCGAAGTATATCAACCCAGTCAAATCAAAAGTCAGAAGCGGAGAGATTCGAAGATATATTTGATAGATTATCGATATATCGAGAAGTGATTAATATAAGCTGGCTAGCGGTCGTAGGGGATTTGAAGCACGACGTACCCATTCGTGATCTGATACGGTTGCGTGCCCAAGCGCCTTCAGTTAGGTTAGTCCATTAAAACTAATGCGATCAGCATCAATGCAGAATGCTTACAGAACTATTGATTTTAGGGTTTACTTTGCACTGCAGGATGTAGAGTGTCATTGCCGGCTAATTCTTACTCAAAGATATGAATTTGAAGATGCGTAAGCTTCGCACTTGCTATACTAGTGGATAGTCTTTCGAATTTTACACATTGCTACTGTTATTAACTGCAATTAGTAGTTACCTCCTACACCATTCTGTTTCTTATCGTCTCCGATTATCGGCTGTTTGTTTTTATTTTGTTACATGCATTTGTCCATTGATCTACGCTGCCATATTTTTGACGTCATCCAATTTTTTCGTCTAATTGTCTTGGCCTTTATTTTCTGTCTGGTTCACTTTTATCTTAATTCGTGAATTATTCATATTAAAAGCAATTAATGTACTTCCCTTTAATATGATGAATGATAGTTATAGAAACACCACTGCTATAGAACAAGCACATCCCTTATACTGAAGAAACATTAATCTCCAAATAATTGTACATTTCACTAAGATTGGTGCTTCCAATTTTTAACATTACCCACATTGAACTAAAAAAATGATTTAGAAATGCAGATTACCATCAATAAGGAAGGAAAAAGTAGTGGATTGGTTCACATCGGTTTGCATAAACGGTACCAGATGTTAGAATTTGCGTGTCTTTTGAATTAGACAAGGCAAACGTTTCAAGTGCTGCGTTACCCATACGGATGTACTCTGAGCGTCTAAAATATCTAGAGAATAAATTAGTGCAAGATGGGTCTGTGTCCAATGCATGTTTGAATGAGGGACCAGTGGAAAATTGTCAGGAATCTGTGGATGTAAAGCCAGGTGTTGCCGATAATGGTAGGTGTTCTTCGACTGAAATAGTTGTAGACTTAAGTCCAGCCTTAGCTGGAATAGGTATTGGGGTTGCCAGGTTACTTTAAGCGAGTTTACTTAACATATTTTAGCATGTTCTTAGAGGTTTTATTATCACATCCTTTCATTGTAATAAGGAACCAGTGTCAAGTTTTGGAATCAAGTCGATGTCTTCATTTAACCCCTTTCACCCTCATACCTGTTGTCCGGAAGTGCATACAATCTCAGGTAAATTTTTGACCCAATAATATGTATTTGATTAGGGTTTATCATTTCTTTGGAAGGGGTTGGGGAGTGTGTTTATCATTCGCGGTTTAAACCTTATGACTGAGAATCTCGTTTGCGAGCTTACATCATTACCCAAGTAAGCAATTCCTTTATGTACAATATTTTCAGGGAGGTCTCCAAATTAAGTTCGTCCAGACGCCTCCTAGGTCATCTTCTTCTTAAAGTGTAAGTTGTTGCCGTTGTTATTTATTCTACTCTAGTTGTTCATGGGTTGTTCTCACCCCATTTTTCTCAGCGAGCATTGTTGAAATTATTCAGGTGAGTTGGTGTGTTATGTTTTCATGCTTTCACTTGTTTTGTTGTTCATTTGTCTACTAAGGGGTAAACGACCAGTTTTACGAAGATCAACGTTTGATTACCCCAAGAAAATTGACCATAGACAATTAATTACTAGTTTTAACTTCTTTTATCTAATAAGGCCTATAACCTAGTGGCTAAAAGTCAGATGTCATAATCGCTAGATCACTTCTCCACAAAGACATGATATCGTCACATATAATTACGTTTCGTTCGCCTCCGTCGTGGGTTATAGTTTAAAGGATTTGACTTCTAACAGCTAAGTTTTGGATTCAAGTCTCGTTATATTTGCACCACTTTTATCAAGTTAGGCGGAATCTCTAAATACATCCAATCGATTCTCCTTAGTATTTTACTATAGTCGAAGTAGACGACGTAATTCAGTCCCAAATTAACATTTTATTTAGAGTGATGGAAATACACTACAAACATTGTTGGATTGTTACCTAAGGTATCTAGATGACTTTATGCACCAAACGGAAAATTGTCGTTTGCCTACTCCAATTTCGTTAGTGAACTTTCTAGTAGTAGATTGACCCGTTAAACGAATAACGTTTTCGAAAATATAACTGAAGATTTGCACAAAACAGGATTAACTAGTTCCGATAAATAATCTTCGATATAGTCGATCCCCATGCTAGTTGACTATGAGTCCGAACTCAGCTATAACAAATTTTTACAAATGAAGTCTGTATGTACTAATTTCTTTTACATTTTAGGGGCATATATTTCTTTAAGACTTTTATACGATACTGTTAAATGCCCAGTTCAGAAGTCAGACTAGGAAGAGATCGTTAAACATGCTTATGTCCCAAATCCTGGATATTTAATATAAACATCAACATCTTCCTTTTAAATCAACCTATTTCTTCAGGTTTGCTGCCCGTGAGCTCCACCCAGGTGTTAGGTGGTTATTAACTGTAGTTTCGTAAAAAAAGTATGAATATAGTCAGATGTATTAAATCTTTCAATAGATATTTGAGTATGAGCTGAACTCTAGGTTTGAGAGCTAGTGCTACTAATTGGGTGCCCAAACAAAAGCAGATAGAGTGGGTTTTGGATCTTGGACTTAATTTCTTAAGGTCGAACTTAAGAACCACTGAAACACGGCTCTAGTTTAGAAAATATATCAGTCTGTAAGTTACAAGCTACGTCAGTCAGTCGGTCAGCTACAACGTAGGACCAGGCACATATATGCATCGGTCCAAGTTGCCATGCCTCAGCACAACAAGATGAACACTGAATTCATAGTAGTTAATTTAGTGGTGGTGATATATAAAAGAAAGATTATATATCAGGATATAGTATAGGAAGAAAGACAGATATGAAGCAATTTTAATCTCAAGGTTTAAGGGAAGATAAAGAGTGTATACACCTACGCTATTGTGATCGATCCTGAGACATGTCACTCAGAGTCTCCAACCATTGGTTACGATAGTCACATGGACCCTAACCAAGTAGTCTGCATCTACCAACATGGCTCAGACTAGAGGTTAGTGACTTCAAGGACTGATGCCATGTTTTGGTTTGGCCACCCCTAACTCTCTTCCAACCATCCCCTATACTAGTCAGCATATCGCGTCGTGGTAATCGGTGTTCAGGCATACGTAACATGTGGCCCAACCATCTCAGTCGATGAAGATTCACAACCTCATCAACCGATTTACCATCATTTTCTAATACCCTGTGTCTAACCTCACTATTACTTACCCGGTGATCCCAGCGAATGAGGGCAATATTTCTAAGACATCTGTGATCAAATACTAGTGACTTACGAGTATCTTCTACTCTTAATGGTCATGTTTCGCAGCCATAGAATAAAACAGAACGAACTGCTGCGCAGTATACTCGTCCATTAATTGATAGACGGATATCTCGTCTTCGCCATAAGTGACGTAAGTTGGCAAAAACCAGGTGAGCTTTTTGAATCCGTGCTGAGATGTCGTCAGACACCAACCCATTAGGGCTGATCAGACTTCCAAGGTAAGTGAAGTTGTCGACGAGTTTGACTACTTCACTCCCTATCCTTAGTTCAGGTGTTGACTGAGGTCAGTCCTAGAAAATATTACATTTTAATACATTTATAATATGGGGTACTCGCGTCACTATTACTCACTGATTTTTCGGATAGGTATGAAACTGACCTGACTACTGTGGCTGTGACATTTTGAAGGAGTTTAAAAATCGTTCATTTTCATCTTTGAATCTTCTGTTTTCAGTTGCTTTGTAAACGTCTACGTTTTCTAAGTGCTTATTGTTTTAAAAAGAATATGCCATTTGAATAACTAAAATAAATTAACTAATAGATCCCTAAATTCGGATTACTTATTGTATTCACGGTTTGTGATACATTGTTCAAAAAAGACCTTCGTAATATTAAATATTTGTTCTTCCACCTTCCGTTTAAAAAAGCAGATAATTTCTTCGAAGAATTTGTATTTCTCCGACTATATCATAACCAGTTTAAGTTAATTAAATTTTCATTTACATATCGATATTATGTTACCTATGTAGGTCTAATGCTTTCGTCTCGCCACACCACACATATATCTGGTGCCCCTTTGTTTATTTGCTATCACCAATCGATTGTTTATAAGCTGCGTTGGTCTGGTCATTGATTAAAACCCACTGAACTATACCGTAGTTCTAGAACTATTTTATCACAACACATTGAACTAGTTCAAGTTACGTGGAGTATTTTCGAATAAAGTAATTTCGCTACTCAGCCTATAGTTTTGTTTATTTTGAAAACCAAAATTAGTATTATAATTACATTCATATTAATTTGACTAAAGCCATTTTCTTTTTCGTGTTTTAATCTACAAATGTTTTCACGGTGTTTTTAGTCTGATAAAGCTTCTGAACCAACTACCCTTCTTTCTTGTGTACTCGATGGTTTTTACCGCTTGTTTCACATGCCGTCATCCCCAAGATTAGGCTCACCAGGTTCAATGTTTCGCAGTGGTCATACTATCAGGAGCATTCCGATCGCGACGTCACGTTTGCTGCCTGTTTGGCGTCTTTTTCCTCCTGTTGTTTTACTTAATGTTGGTCATTATGTTGTTCGATCGTTTGCAAGCACTGTAGCTTTGTATTACTGGAGTGGTAATGAGGATCGTCTTGAACGAGATGCGGAAATGGACTTTAATTATAAGGTATATCAAACAGTTCTGTTTAAACTGAACTAAATTATGTATTATCTTTTTCCTAAATGATCTCTGATAGTCCCATAAACAGCAAAAGTATGATCGTGTTTACCAGTTATCAGAATGGTTGTTTTAAATTAGCGGTTTTGTTGGTTGGTGTCACCTTTTGTTAACTTAGCTGTGCAATATGTGTTGGTATGAGTAGTATATCTCCATATTTCCATGTCTAGTGAACTGGCATTCGAAATCAGGGATTCAAGTCACGGATATATAATTATGTTCGTAGATTATCAACAAAATGAGTCGCAATTAAAAAATCAAATAAAATTTTACTGGCAAAAAGATATTCAAAAAACCAAGAAGAATAAGGATTTATTTCCCCATATATTGGTATGTTAGGTTTCTTTATTCACAAAGTTCGTTAAACATGCTGTTGAATCAGATCCACTTGCATTTTCACTTTCGAAGTTTTCATGACATGGAGTTTTTGTCACGAAATAGTGACAGCTGTCGATTGTAAATGTGTCGTGTAATGACACTAGCCAAATAAAAACTTGCCACTGGAGTTAATATCAAAATCCTTCCAAATTGTAGACTAGTTGCGCAAGTATGTCACCTTCACATACTGAAAGTTATTTATATGCAGTTACGATAATTTGTGTTAAACTCTCAGCCATTTTTGATAACACCAACATATGTTACGAATTCATCTGTGCCACTAAGCTGGGGATATACATTAGACAAGAAACTCTTCCATTAAATGTCTGGGACGATATGGTATTGGTTTTGTGGAGTTAAGAATCATAAAGAACCTTAAGAAGGATTTTGTGTAATCTCTGATGCTCTGGGTTTCTGTGTTCCAATATTACAAGGGCGAATTTCCCAACGTTTTAGTCCTACTCGAAAACTTCTGACCAAGATGTGTACAATGGATTCGGAGATTTCAACATACACATTACCATGTTTTTATTCTGATAGAATCTTGTATTTTATTAATAGAAACTTTTATTTCTTATCAAATTTCAGACTGAAGGTTTTAATCGGAATAGGTGTTCTGGATTTCCTTTTCATTATGCAATACCAAACGCACATACATCTGTTAGTGAACGTCATACAACAGATATGGATACTTTAATTTACCAACGTCAGGACACCGCTTTACAGGCGATTTATGATCGTTATTATGCCGATTTGTTCGCTGGGATGACAGCTAATTTTGTCGCAGATGTTGTACTTTATCCAGTAGAAACCCTAGTACTACGGTTGTGTGTACAAGGCACTCGTACTCTGGTTGATAATATGGATACGGGTGATGTAGTTGTTCCCATTGTTTCTTCATATGACGGATTTTTTGATGCACTTCGCTCTAGCTTGGGGTTGCCTGTTGGAATCCAGGGTCTTTTTAAAGGTTTTGGTGCTCTTATAGCTCAATATGCCCTACAGGCACTGTTTATTTTTGGGATCCGTTGTTTGTATGAACATCTTCTTTGTCTTTGGGCTCCTCCACCTACTGATAACAAAGTTTACTCAAAGTCAAGCTCCAGACCAAATGTATCTACCGCATTTGAGGGCTTGGAGTCAATCGCTGCTGGTGACTCTCCGTCTACTGTTGATAACTGGTAACGTCATATGTGTTATTGTTGTGTTAATTTTGATGAGTAAAATTCACCATCGTTGTACAGTTTCATGCTCATACATTCAAACATCACATTTACATTCTGACTTCACCTACTGCCTATTTTTTTCATTTGCATCATTTCTTGGAGACTATCTAGGCTAGAACTAAGCTGGATTTAATTAAAAATGTAGATTTTCAACATTAAAGTGGAAAAAATCGCTTTTATCTATTTTTAACGAAAGGAAGCAGGATAAAATTTCCAACTGTCAATTTTCACTCATCATTTGTAAATTGATTTATGAGGATTATCTAATTGCTCATTTTTAGATTTTCACATATTAAACTGTATTCATGTAAAATTATTGTATATTTTCTCTTTCCTTTGTCGGTTTAAGCCATTTAGAAAATGAAGAATTTAGTTTCTCTCGTTGCTCTTCTAAATTACTGGGTCACGCGTGGCTATTCATTTAAATAAAATAACAAATGTAACGTCATTTTAATGGTGAAGAATGAATGTACACTTAACTAAACGTTTCTATTGGACGTGAGTAAATGTGTAAAGACTTCTTCCTTCCTATTTCGTTACTTGTATGAACTCCCGGTCACCTATTCGCTATATTGCCTGAGTTAGTATAATTAACTATGCAACCTCAGACTCTTGATCTGAACCATGTGGCGAAATATAACTTTTTTTGTTTTAGTTCGTCCTTGTATGTGAAATACACGTTTGATAATCGCAGGCGACACTACAGAATTTCGGTCACAAATGTTTATGCTTCATGTTACGTAATGATGTGTTGAAAGTTGAGCATAATATGAATAGGACACTATGTGCCGATTTACCGTGTTCACTTGTGACATTCTTGTTCATTTTAATGTTTCACATTTCTTTTCTCTTTCTAAGCTATTACAAAATATAGTGGCTGGAAACGATGAACCTTTGTGGGGTATTCTACGTTACTCTGTCTGCCTGTTTGGTGCATTATGAAAATCTTTGCGCTCGAATAAGTGTAAGTGTAATTTCTACGTATTTCATCCCTAGATGATTATCATCATAAGCACCCGTAAAAATTGGGACGACAGAACAGATATTTGTAACCTTGAATCTACTGCTTCTAAATAGTCACACATTACTTTGATATCCTCTCATTTGATTCAACTTGTTTATTATTTATTTATTTAAACACATAAATATTGGTACAATGAAGCACCAGATAAATATGCGCCTCACAAATCTCATTCGATTTGTGTGAGGGCTGTGATACTGCCCAGGTGCCCAGACTGAAGCAGGTGGTTTTCTTAGGGGGCCACACCCGGAGCCTTCGACCCAAAGGTCTGATCCACAAGGCAGTGGAGCATCGTGAGGAGATGCAGTCCCATGGTAGCCGTTGACCAATGACAGGTTCGTCCGCCATTCGTTCCATCAGGATACTGGAGCCCATATGCACCATTGGTTTGGAATCAGGGTTTTCCAACTCCTCTAGGTGGACCCTCCGTGTCCACCAACCCGGTTAAAGCGCCGGACATTCGCTTTTCGTCCTCTCACTTTCGTAAACAACACCCCCGCCACGAGAAGGCAGTGAGTAGGACTTCCCTAGCAGAGGCTATATATTCGCTGGCCATATGAGGGTATTTCGAGAGGGAGAGGTGACTCTCCCCACTCTCTGTCGTACCAGGGCATTTGGGGGCAAGAAGAATATCTGAACCAATTTAAAATGTTTATGTTTCAAGTATAACGTGTAAATATTTTAAAGAAACATCTAGGTATTTAATTAGCTAATCCTAGATTATCATTCTATCAAATACATTAACACCAATTACGTTCAGGAAAATTGCTTTGAATTAATTTCACGTGTTTTCACCGTTAAGTGAACGTTTGAAACCAAATCGCGTTTCTTGTGTTTCATACTGCAGAAAATTACTAGATGGTATCTTTAAAACATAAATAACAGTTTTGGCATGAAACAGTTTATATCAGTAAAGATAACTTACAAGTGTGTTTTCCTTGTAAATGAGAAAGAGCTCTAAGTAATTTTTTGCGTAAACTGCAAAATAATTGGAATGATAGGTGTAACTAAGAATTTTACTAAATGTTTTAATAAGGCTTAAGCTCTTTTGTATATTATAACTCACAATAAGATTTTTTGCTAGAATTCGCTTCCTGTAAATCCCTCGACTGTTGCTGCTACCTTGACGTGGTGGTCGGGCTTGCCTATCGTGATGAACCAATCGAGCTATACTGGCTGGAACTATCGTTCCTCAAAGTCCTACCATGCCAATCACGTCGGTTGAAGAGCGGTAAGACTAAAAGCAGCAAACCCAAAGTCCAAAAGCAAAGTCATACTACTGACTGTACAGAGGTATGACAGCAGTAAGGTGTTTCTTTCAGACAACCAGCATAACAGCAATGCTGCCTTCCCACAAGATGTGGGTTAGAAAAGGTCGACTCTAAATGCATACACCTCGCCTTATCCCACGGATATCCGTCTCTGGCGGTAAGGTCTCAACAAGTATGGAGCTAAGACAAAAATTACAAAAAGGTCATGTGTGACCGACCTTGAGCAGTTGTCCCTTTGACACTACGGTCACGCTCTCAGGTTACTAAGACCACTTCTAATCCAATTTCCTTTTCAGGTACCTCTAGGAGAACCCTTCCACGGTGTGGGCAACCGGGAAGTGATAACTGCCCTCATACCTATAACAGTACTCAAGATCACTGTATTCATAAACAACCTCCCTCTTCAATTCCCATTATTCCTCCTACCTCAACTTTCAACACTAAACTTCCTCTTTCGGCTTCCTTCTCAAGTGTCACCATAGCCAACGACCTAGTGTGCAAAACACTGTCCCAGATCTACTAAAACCTTGCTCCAAATTAAATATTGGAGTCTTTAACGTACGTACCCTATGTCAAATCGGCCATCAGGCCTCCCTGGCCAAAATCCTAGAATCTCATACCATTGATATATGCTGTCTCCGAAACACACATACAGGATCCTAGTGTGGTCATTCACTTGACATCACCTCGTCCAAATGAACAACCGACGAAATACACCCTCCGTGTATCTGGCGACCCTATGACTAGTTCTCGTGGACTTGCAGGTGTAGGCATAGCACTAAGTACAAGGGCAGGACAGGCACTACTAGAATGGATCACCGTTAACAGTCGCCTGTGTGCTGTCCGGCTAAATGGCTCCGTAAGAACTCGGAAGGATAGGGACACACGTCGTTTCTGCCTACGCTCCCACTGACTGCAGCCATGATGAAGTGAAAGATGACTTTTACAGAAAGCTCTCTGAACTTTTTCAAAAAGCTAAGCGCTCAGACATAGTAGTCGTAGCGGGTGACTTTAATGCTCAATTAGGCAGCTTAAACCAAACAAAAAGACATTTCTGTGGGTATTTTAGTATTCCGACTCAGCGAACAGATAATGGTGGTCGTCTGTTGCAACTGTGCTCAGACAGTCGTTTATTTTTAGCAAACACTAACTTTAAGCACAAGGAGAGACATCTCTTAACATGGCGACCACCTGCACCAAACCAACGATGGATTCAAATAGACTGTATTATCATCAGTCATCGTTGGAGAGGCTCGATAGAGGACTGTCGCTTGCTCGGGAATACATGTTTAGACTCTGATCACGCTTTAATGCAAGCACGAATTTGTTTGCGCCTCACTGGATGCAGAAAAACGACACTAAGAAGACCCATTAGAATTGAACTGAAGGACGAGAAAGCCAAAAGTAATTTCCAGGAACAACTGGGTTCACATCTAGGCGGTTCTGTAAACGAGGCTGACCCAGATGTTTCGTGGAAAGATATACGAACAGCTGTGGAAATAGCAGTAACATCTATCAGTAATTTAAACCAAAGGGTTCCAAAAAACCAATGGATTTCTACTAAGTCTATTGCACTAATGGATTCTCGTAAACTCATCCCACCAGGCTCTGAACACGATGAAGAGCGAAAGCATTTCAAATCTAGGATAACCAAAAGTCTAAGGAACGATTGTGAGCGGTAGTAGGTAACGAAAGCAAAATAGATGGGAAATGCAGCGGCTGTAGGTAACATCAAACAACTCTTCAGACTAATAAAAGAAACCAGAATGAAGAAGTTAAGTGTAAGCGAGGCAATCTCGGAAAAAAACGAACAGCTTAACTGGTCTTCAGCTACTCTACATTTACCCACCATTCCCAAACAGTCTGAATGGAACATTGAAGTAGGTCCCCCGAATCTTGCTGAAGTCCAAAAACTATAGCTAATCTGAAAGGAGGAGAAGCAGCTGATACAGATAGATTGGCTCCAGAAGTCTTTAAATGTAGTGATGCAGTTTTAGCGATTAGGCTGTATCGACCACATATTCACTATTCGTCAGGTTTCATAACACAGACATCCTTATCGGCATCCGACAATGATAGTTTTTCTTGACTTAAAAGGAACATTCGACATTGTAGACCGAGAGTTTCTGTGACAGTGTCTGTCATTGAAAGGTGTATCTCATAAGTTCATAAACCTTGTGGGGGCTCTTTACTCGAACACTAACAGTCGAGTGAGAGCTTATGGCGAACTGTCATTTGATTTTACAACCTCAAGTGGTGTCCGACAAGGCTGTCCACTATCCCCACTTTTATTTAACTTCATCATAGACCTACTCCTGGACATAACACTCGTCGACTGAATTTTCAGGAATCGATCTCGTACCAGAAGGTCCACTTATCGACTTAGAATACACAGATGACATAGTTCTGTTTGGTGAAGACACTGACGAAATGCAGAGTCTTCTGTTGGAACTCAGTAATAATGCCAGGATGTTTGGGATGCGTTTCTCCCCATCCAAATGTAAATTGTTACTCCAGGACTGACCTCAGTCAACACCTGAACTAAGGATAGGGAGTGAAGTAGTCGAACTCGTCGACAACTTCACTTACCTTGGAAGTCTGATCAGCCCTAATGGGTTGGTGTCTGACGACATCTCAGCACGGATTCAAAAAGCTCACCTGGTTTTTGCCAACTTACGTCACTTATGGCGAAGACGTGATATCCGTCTATCAATTAATGGACGAGTATACTGCGCAGCAGTTCGTTCTGTTTTATTCTATGGCTGCGAAACATGACCATTAAGAGTAGAAGATACTCGTAAGTCACTAGTATTTGATCACAGATGTCTTAGAAATATTGCCCTCATTCGCTGGGATCACCGGGTAAGTAATAGTGAGGTTAGACACAGGGTATTGGAAAATGATGGTAAATCAGTTGATGAGGTTGTGAATCTTCATCGACTGAGATGGTTGGGCCACATGTTACGTATGCCTGAACACCGATTACCACGACGCGATATGCTGACTAGTATAGGGGATGGTTGGAAGAGAGTTAGGGGTGGCCAAACCAAAACATGGCATCAGTCCTTGAAGTCACTAACCTCTAGTCTGAGCCATGTTGGTAGATGCAGACTACTTGGTTAGGGTCCATGTGACTATCGTAACCAATGGTTGGAGACTCTGAGTGACATGTCTCAGGATCGATCACAATAGCGTAGGTGTATACACTCTTTATCTTCCCTTAAACCTTGAGATTAAAATTGCTTCATATCTGTCTTTCTTCCTATACTATATCCTGATATATAATCTTTCTTTTATATATCACCACCACTAAATTAACTACTATGAATTCAGTGTTCATCTTGTTGTGCTGAGGCATGGCAACTTGGACCGATGCATATATGTGCCTGGTCCTACGTTGTAGCTGACCGACTGACTGACGTAGCTTGTAACTTACAGACTGATATATTTTCTAAACTAGAGCCGTGTTTCAGTGGTTCTTAAGTTCGACCTTAAGAAATTAAGTCCAAGATCCAAAACCCACTCTATCTGCTTTTGTTTGGGCACCCAATTAGTAGCACTAGCTCTCAAACCTAGAGTTCAGCTCATACTCAAATATCTATTGAAAGATTTAATACATCTGACTATATTCATACTTTTTTTACGAAACTACAGTTAATAACCACCTAACACCTGGGTGGAGCTCACGGGCAGCAAACCTGAAGAAATAGGTTGATTTAAAAGGAAGATGTTGATGTTTATATTAAATATCCAGGATTTGGGACATAAGCATGTTTAACGATCTCTTCCTAGTCTGACTTCTGAACTGGGCATTTAACAGTATCGTATAAAAGTCTTAAAGAAATATATGCCCCTAAAATGTAAAAGAAATTAGTACATACAGACTTCATTTGTAAAAATTTGTTCAGTAAATCCCCAACTAACCCTTCCAGCCTGTCCGTTATAGTCAATATACAACCTAGTATGCATGTGCATCAGTTCAATCTGCCACGACACAGCGCGATGCCACAGTAGTAAAAGTATTCTTGGTTCTAGAAAAGTTAACGATAGGTGGTAAGAGTCGAGAAAACAATTGATTCTAACACAGTGGTGTAACGTCTTCAGTTATCTCTCATTAGAAAATACAGTTTCTTCTTAAATCATCCTGACCATGTAGGACAGTCTAATTGGTCGGTTCCATACAATTTTCAGTCAATTTCGTTTCACTGTTAGTGAGTGATTTCCTATCAATACTGACATAATGTTAATTCTCTTGTCATTTAATGCAGAAAACAACTATGATATTTATGTGAATGTGATTGACAAATTAATACAAGTACAAGCAGAAGGTGTTTTTGAAGTTTTTCAAAATTAAGCCATCTGGTAAGTAATAGCTATTTCAGAGGACAATCTTCACTACGCATGATGAGCATTATCTTATTTATTCTTGATGTTATTCGGATCCTATTATGCTTTGTCTTGGGATTAGTAATTGAACACAGTGTACTGCTGGCTACAGGCTCAGCATTTTCGAAGAGTAATACTTGCCGGCAAGGAATAATGTTATAGATTCATGATTTTTTAAGTCTTACGTTTTGAATTCTTATCCCCCTTTCTCTCCAATCTCTCATCTTGCTGCAGTAAATCGTACCTTTCATACCAGGAGTTAGACATTTCACTGGGTTGTTGTGTTTTCCGTCGTTCAAGGTTAATTAATAACTGTATTTACAAATACTTTTGTAATGATATTGAATTTATTAGAAATGGTAAAATTTCTTTTGAAGAAATCTATCTTCTTTCTTAAGTTCGCGTCCATTCAGCTTGTACGCCCATATCTGACCTACTCGTTGAGTCATAAACTATTGGACCATGTGTCTTTTTTCACTATTCAGTTGCTCTTAGGCCCCAATTTCGTCACCATCTTTAGAATAACACTTATCAATACCACAAGCTGCACTAAGTGAATTTTTCATCCTTTATAAAGAGTACCTATTTTTTAAAAATAATGTGACCATTGAGAGTTCACTGACTCGAGTGAATTGACAAGATATAACTTAAATGAAAGCTATTCGTTTTAACACAATGCACCCATCAGTAATCATCATTATAACTTCTCATTAGTTACTGACGTATTATTCTAGACTTTATAGGCAATCTCAGTGCACTTGCTAAATCTTAAGTCTTCTGAAATAACAATCTCACTTATTCAATCACTCTTGTTTACTGAATTCATTCTGTATAAAGTTAGACGTTTACCGACAAACATTTACACTGTAATTATAGTGTGCTGATGAATCTATAAACGCTTTTATTCTAATGACTACGACATCGAAATGCCATTAACAAAAGTGAGAAGCTTATCCTGAGATCAGTTAATAAATTTAAGGAAGTATGAATTCTGAAGAATAATTATGTAATAACAATGTAATATCCAAGAGAACCAAAAGTCAACGATCGTTATGTACGTTTTTTCATTGCTTTCATCTCCCCATTGTTTTCCATCACCTAGGGTGCGTTGTTTTAGGAAATGTACTTCTTACATTATCTGTCAAGATGACCAGTTTGTGCATGAATGTGTAGTGCCGTGCTTCAATAATAGTTCACTTCAATAACCGTTATTATACCAATCTTAACGGTGCGTAAAATCAGAAGGCAAAAGGAAGCGGCAACTACATTTTTATTGATAAATGTTGTAGACCAGAAAGCTGTAAGCACATAAGCAAGTGTAAGCGAGCGAAGCATACATGACATGTATTGGAGATGGCAAGGAAGCCAACTCGAGAGTGAAGCAAAATTAATGCGTATTGGAGATGGCGGGGAAGCCAACTCATTTTAAGCAAGCGTCAATCAACATTTATAGCCAGACATGTGATGAATAAGATACGAAGTGTGCATACACATACGCTCATATAAAAAAGTCAAGGTTAATAAGCGAATAATTAACAGAATCAAAATATGACTCGTAATGTATAGGTGAATTAGCTTGGCCAGTAGCTATAATGAAGTATATGGGCTTAACATATAAACCGATACTACAAATGTATTTTACAGACGTGTTGCTATTGTATGCAAAAAAATAACATACTTATTAAGTAAAAAATCGACTGTCATTTCTTCTTCCAATTGATGTGGGTTACTAATCATTCTAGCATGACAAAATTTGTCTCGACTAAGAAAATGTTCATTATGTTTGTTCTTTTTTTCTGTAGCACATCACTGCAGTATTATCTGCAAATATCAGCCTCCGTTATATAAATCATATACTTAGTTTAAATACAAACAAACCAGACCGCATCATACCATAAAATAGAAAATAATAATTATACAAAATCAGGTCAAAAGATGTCTGTGGTTGCGAGAGACTAACTAGTAAATATGAGAAAAACTCAGGAATAATAAATCACATAACGGCAGCCAATAGGTCAAACGGAAGCTTATAGTAAGAGGAATATATATATATATCTTTTCACAAACAACCTTTTCAAATACATTCATACTATTTACTTATTGTTAGTAGCTTGTATATTCAAACGAATAAAATACGAATTTTATCTGGTTGAACAAAGTACTCTACGATGAAACCAACTTAAACGTAATTTCTAATTATCACTGTGTTTACTGAATACAGTTACGTCAGTCGATTGTAGGTTGATTTAAATATAATAACAGGCTGATATTTTGCAGTTTATCTTGCCTAGATAAATTTATCAACGAAGTTAAGGTTTAAGCCACACATGTGATAAGTAGTTATCACAGTATTTGGAGGCGAATTCGGCTTTGGAATGGTCATTTCTCAGTCGAACCATACTTTTATTTTCCCCTCCCTCTGAATCGTACTCGTTGTACAAATTTTAGAGTTATTCATGTATAAATAGCCACTAAAGTTATCTTTGTGAACGAATACTAAACTATACAGGATTGTTAGCTGTTATCGATCGCTATATATTCAATTTTTGGTTCAAGAAAATAGAGTAGCTTTGAAAACAAAGTTGATTTTAAAATATCTACTTTCTTTATCTGCTCATATTTTCACAAACAGTATGTGCTCATAAATACTTGAGAAAATTAAAGTTATTTCACTCTATAAATAGTATTTATCGTTGATCAAGGGGCTGAAGCATCCTTAAAAGTGCGTAAATAAATTTACTTCAGTTAGTAAAATCGTTTATTCTTCGGTATTTGACGAGAACCTGAATATTTCCAGGTGATACCGATAAGCGTTAACATGAGTCAGAACTAAGTGTAAATTCACTGTATGCTGCTAACGTTTAGGGATATCAATTAATTAAAACACCCAATGCAGAAAAGTAATTTACTAATATAGTTACTCAAAGAAAACTTTTACAAATAATGATTTGCAATAAAATAGAAGCGTGTTGTGTCATTTAAAAAAGCTATCAACAATAATCAGAATTTTTGTTGAATTTAAGTCCGTAATTTAGTAGAAGAGTATTGCGCAATTAAACTAAGTTACTAGAATTAAAACTACAAAATGGTCCAGCGATTAATGAAAAATTTTAAAGTGAAGGTAGTTTGTGGATTAATGATGATTGTCCGGTTAATTAATACAAAGGACAATAATTAAATGCTCTCTTGATATCTGATCAGCTATTGTGAAAAATAAGGTGTGAAAACAGTAGTTTATTAAGGACATAAGATAGATAGGAGGGTTAAGGCCATGATACAATACGAAGCTAGTGACTCAGTTTCTATATACTAAGATTCTGCATTGATCGGTGGTCACGTATAGGCTCTGATGTACGTACTGATGACGTTGCTTTCTTCGAATTTATTATCCTTATGTTTTCGTAACCAGTTGGTTGTGTTGTTCGTTTACTATGTGACTAATTTCCCTTTAACCCGCTGATTGATAACTTAGCCTATATCTTTATCCTTGTTAATTGCGAATCTACCCAAATACCATGTTTCTAGAAATTCTTAGGGATTTTCGGGATTTAAATGCAGAAATCTTGACATTTTTTCAATCGATTGCAGTGGTGTGGGTTGATTAACACAAGTAATAACATATTGTCTTTCCGCTCTTAGTCTGTATTCGTTCATACAGAGGTGAGGAGAGCACCTACTCTGTCCAGTGTAGTGCTTATTTCAATTGATATAATTTATCTCAATGAAACTATCCTGAACACATCTAAAGTTATTATTTTTTGCAAAGCATTATTTTAATAACGAAATATCAAACGGGACACTTTCTTACAGTTAATGAATTAAGACAGTTCATGCAACCATTTTTAAAACTAGTTTTTTTGGCTTGTATCCAATCTAAGAGATGGCAATAAAGGGTAGAAATTTGTCGTATTTTGTTAAATTTAGTATTTGTTGTTTTGTGAATCCTTGTTATAATTTTTTATTCAACTCAAATTAAAGTAAGTAAGCTAATGAATGTATTGTAACGTGCCAAGAATAAATTTGTATATGCGTGTTTCAATTTATTTTTAGGAAAATGTCTACTGTGTTACTGTTTCACTCTTTCTTCTATTTAACTCTAGTAAGTCAAAGGGAAGAGAAAAAAGGTATTTGAATTTTACGTTTTGTTTTGAAAACGGTAAGAATACTGTTAGATATAAACGGTGTAAAACTCTTCCTCTATTCAACTGGTGCAGATGTTTTTCTAAGTGCTGGTATCTCCAGTTAAAACACATTCCACAAAACTGTTGTAATGTTTTAGGTTAAAAATATAGAGAACGTGTAGATTTATTGTCACAACTCCGTGACTATGCTCACTTCAATTACTTGAATTTTAGTTACATCTTAAGTATAGGGACTAGTAAAACTATCTAGCTACTCAAATTTATGTAGATCCATAGGTGTTTGAACTTCCTATATACTGATTGAAAGGCAAGTATACCAGCTACTAGACTCTGTATTGTGAGCTAATACAGAGTTAAGAACTATGAATATAAGTTTATGATTCACTTGTTGAATGTTTGTTGTAAATTAATCATGGTGACTCCATAAAATATAAAAAATATACATCATAATGAAGTGCCTTCACCTAGGACAAACTAACCAGGGTTTAGCATTAAATTTAACAGCTAGAGAGATACAAACATTTGAGTCTTATACAGAGTTCGAAAATGTTCTTAGTCAGATTTTATTAGAACACAATATGAATACGCTATCTGATCTACAGTGAAGGAGACAGAATATTGTGTACTCATTTTGCTTCCATTACTTATTTTTACCTAAAGTATGCATGTGTATATAATATTCATGTACTTTAAATACGTTGATATAGAGATGTCGATTGGTATTGGAAATAACAAAGAATTTAGATTCATAAAAGCAAATAGAATCGAATAAACTAAAATGTTATTGTTTATCTTTCTTTATAGATGTGAATAGGAAGTTTTCATGTATAGAAAAAAAGTCATAGGCTCATTCTTACAAAGAAAAGTGTTGATCATGTTTCAAAAAGCAGGGAATATTTCGGATTGATTACTGAACCGAAAAGTAGGTAGAAAGTGCTAATTAAATTCAAAATAATCGTCCTGATGTTGAATCGGGCCAGTAGAAGAATTACTGACTACAAAGTTTTTCATAATAAAGTTCTCAGTATTCCAGAAAGTGAATTCAATCTATGACAATTTTAAAAGCTGTTAGGTTAATGAGATTATTTACCACACTAATATTAACTACTCATTTTTATCTATGCTATCTAGTCCAAGTAACGTAAGTTTAAAATTCTGTGACAAACGTGTAGCAATCGTTTTACTGGCCACTTACCATAGGTACAGTTTGTATACAATCTGTAAGTGTAACGGATCTGTCAAGAAATACATCTACTTTGTTAGGTGACATAGTTTCCCACTAAATAATCGTTTTATAATAATTGGGAAACATGTGTATGTAGTAATTTATTATTAAACTTAACAATACAGATTACAAATGAATTTTCAAACTACTCCAGCCAGTACAATATTTGTTAAACCAAGTGCAACTGACATCGTAGACTGGAAAGGATCCATTATGTTTTCTTATGGTTCGGATTTTCCACATATTTAATACGAATTGACTGAAGTTGAGAATCTATCCCATTGGAAGCTAACCTAATAGTCTAATTGTTAGTGTGTGGGCACTACTGAAAACGCAATATTAAGGGGATGTAGCCATCCAATCCACTATAGTTTTTAACAATACCCGAAACGAGGCTAATCTGAGACAAATATCTACATAAGTATTAACTTTTATGAAGTATGGAATATCCATCTTGTAAAAATCTTTACGAAAACAATTTTGATCTATTTAGGACCGTAATAATAAATACGAAGTATGACGTAATTAATTACATAAAATATCCGTTAAACGCTATTAGTTTAGTAAAGGAAATTGTAAAACGAATAACTAGGATTGAAGTATTCACAGTAATAATAATAATTCTTCATGTACATTATTATTATTATTATTATTATTATTATTATTATTATTATTATTATTAATGGCTTTATTCAATATTATAATCTGATGCAATATAGAATTCTCAGCACGAGTTATTTCAACAAGTTTTTTACCAAAAAAAAACCCAAGAAAAACAAACAGAAAAGGAATGAAAAAGGTTTAAGAAAATCTGAGTTTACACAAATTATCAAATTTGATACATGCTTAAGAATACAGGTTATTTACTAGGTCAACTCTAACAGCCTGTTCGTCACAAAGTAAATTTTCTAAGTAAGGTATTACAGAACTTTTATAGATTTGATTGCGTGCATGGATTTTAATGTATTTACGTCTCGTTCTACCAGAAGATATACAAGGAGAAAGATATGAATGAAGCAGATGGTTAGTATCTGATAAGATAAAACCTGCCAAGAGTTTGCAAAACTTAAGATGTCTATCCACAAGCATATTAACAATGACTTCAAAAGATTCACCACATACCTTGCAAACCGCCTTCAGCACTCTACGCAAAAGAGCAAAGTCTTTTCTCAAAAGCCCAGGAAAGAATAATGGAGAACAATATAGAATAATAGGTAATATGCAGGAATTTACAAATTGTAAGAGTAAATGGTGAGTAATCCCAAATGCATGCAGCCTCTTTATGTAGTATGTCAAACGGTAAACTTTTTTCGATAACAGTAAAACATGAGAAGACCAAGAAAGATCAGAGGAAAAAATGGCACCAAGATATTTGACCTTCGACACTGTGTTTATTAAGGAGTCTCCAATAGCACAAGCATTATGTGATCGCAAAATAGAGTGTAGGTTCTGTCCATGTCTCAAGCTAAAACCAACAGCTTGACATTTAGATGGATTGAGTAAGAGACCATTACCAACAGACCACCTTCCAAAACGAGATAAAAACTCATTCATTTCTATGGGATGTAAGGAGGTAGAAATCGGCATACATACAGTGAGGTCGTCCGCATATTTTACAAAAGTGTTTTCTGTGGAAGATGGCAGATCATGCAGAAAAAAAGAGAAGAGCAGAGGTGAAAGAACAGCTCCTTGTGGCACACCTACATTAGACAGTAGAGATGTTGAACACTTTCCTCCAAATACAGTGTACTGTTCTCTTTCAGAAAGGTAAGAACATAGCCAATTGGTTATCCAGCTGTCAGTATCGACGCTGATCAGCTTGTTAAGTAAGAAGTGTCTTGGAATAGAATCAAAAGCAGAAGTAAAATCCAGGAAAGCTCATCCAACATACTTCTTACCCTTTTCCAACCTGAACACTATATTGTGATGCAGAACAGCAACAGCATCTAATGTGCTTCTTTTGCATTTCTAAGCAAACTGATATGGATCACAGTGCTCTTTTATTGCAGGTTGAAGTGGTTGTATCAGTAATTTTTCCATTATTTTAAGGAAAGGTGAAGTTATTGCTATGGGTCTAAGTTTCGCATTTTTATCACCAGAAGCTTTCTTTGGTATAGGGATTATCTTTATCTTTCTCCACATTTTCGGTAAGACATTAGTTGAGAAGGATCTGTTAAAGATATTCGTTAATGGATAACATAAAACATCAGCACATTTTTTAAAAAGGAGGTTTGGGATACCATCAGGTCCTAAACATTGGGATGAATTAAGTGACTGGAGACATTTTCGGACATCATTTTCAGTGAAACTGGAAACACAATTATTCTTCAGACCCTTGGATATAGGGAGCATTATGTCAGATGACTGACGTATAAAGGACTTATTTAAGTCACAAACATTCAGCTGGTTATCGCTTCTAGTCTTCCTGTTCCCTGTAATTTCTTTAAAGAGTTTCCACATACTTGGAGAGCTTTTACAAGATAGGAGTTTTTGAGTAAACACAAAGTTGAGACGTTTAATCTCTTGATTTATTTGACCATTTAACTTACGAACTTCAGCAGTATTTTTCTCCTTGTACATCCTTTCTTTTACCCTCCGTAGTCGTTTTAGTTGTGGAGATGTAAGTCGATCGAAACTTAAAAAGAAGGTTTCGGTAGGACAGCAAATATCAAAACAGAACTTAAGATAACAGGTGATAACATCAGTTGTGTTTTCTATTGAGTCATCTGTAAATAATTCCCAGTTAGTAGTACGAAACATGTTTTTCAGATTTTGTAAATTTTCTTCCGAGTAAATCCTGTATATTACTTTTTTGGTATGGTGTATGTGTGTACCATATACTGTTTACATGTTTACCATATACTCTAGGTGGGACACGAATTATACAGTGATCCGTGCTAGACAATGGAGCACGTTTGCGAGTCACAGGTACCCACATCATTAATGAAAACTAAGTCTAGATGAGCATTTAAACGAGTAGGAAAATCTACATTTAGGTGACCTAGTGATATAAGGAAGCTACAGTCACATAAATTGAAATCACCACATACAATTGAAAGTGAATCACTGAAGGCAGTAACGGCGAATTCAGTAAATTAATCAGCGAAGACAGATTGCGCAGATGATGTGCAGTCTGAAGTCATGTAGATATTGGTAACATAAATATATTTGTATTTATTTAGGTGTTTTGGACATCACCTTAAAGTTAGACAGTCAATAAAGTCATTTGAAAACTTGAAACAGGCAAAAGTAGATCGACAGCAGTTAACGTTCACAAAAGTAGCTACTCCGCCACCACAAGTCTTTTTATTGTTTGATCGATCCTGACGATAGATATTAAAATTAAGTAATGATACTAAGCAATCATCATTCTTGAATTGTGATGACACCACAATTACGATACATGTTTTGACTTAGCAGAAATTGGAGATAGTCCACCTTGTTAATTAGTGATCGACAGTTAGAGTTAAGCAGCTCGGGAATCGACATTTGATTAATGTTTATTCTCTTTAAAGCGTATTGCCAACCACCACGATGTCTCTTATTGTACTTGTTTGTGATTTCTGCAGAGAAAAAACGTAAGCTTTTCATAAACGCGACTGTATAGGTTATGCGATTAATAGACATAATGATAAGTTAAAACAAAATTAAAAAACCCAGATAACTTGTTGAAATATTCAGATTGCAGAAACAGGTAGCCTAGGTATTCAAGCAGGCCGCCTACAAATAAAACTTTCGGTAATTAAGTAGTAGGGGTCAGAAATTCAATTGAAAAATTATCGCGACTGGATAGAACGAGGGACGTGTTATAAAAAAAACATCTAGACATTTATTTAACATTTTCTCTGAACAGAACATTTTGTGAAACTACATTTGGTATCCGACGTTACATGGTCTGTTGTTCTTTTCAGGAAATTATATCCGGACAGTCAGTTATATGAATTACACCGAATTAGTCTACAGCGTCTGTGAAGTTTACTGTGGTAATACGTCATAAAATATTAAACATAGAAGAGAAATCAGGTATTCGGACCATGTGGTCAAACATACGGATACATAAAATTATTCTCTTTACTCCCTTTATACGTTTTCAGTCAATTATTCAGTCACAGATTTCAGTCTTATTCGCAGTTTATTAATCATCCATTCTTCCTTGTATTTCTTTGCTACAATTAGTTTTTTGTTAAATCCTGTTAATAGCTATTTTCTAATTTACGAACTCATGTTTTCGATTTTCTGAGCTAGTCGTTTTCTTGGTCAGAAAAGTTTATTTCGTCTCTGTGGTGTATTTATGTTTTGTAGATAAATCAAAACGGAATAGCCCTTTCATCGTATAAAAGGTTGCTCTAATTTTTGATGAATGTTCGAAGCATAAATTTTTTATTTATTTACGAATGCCCATTTAATGCAATTCCTCGAAGAAAATTTTCTTTTTGATGATTTCATTTACTCAGGTTTTACACGCATTTACTTTTTAAACATAATGATGTACGGTGAAACAGAAGCATATGGTGTCATCTACAAAAGGTATCAATAGCAACCGAAACAGTGTCTTTTCAATTTTTGAGTCACTATTTCAAATATTCAGTTCAATTAATAATTCAGGGTTCTAATTGATTATCAAAGTGAACAAACAAGGAAGTTGTCAAGTTTTCGAAAATACCCCTTTACTATTTGTCGATAAAATTAGTTACTGTGTATTCGTATGCTGAAAGAAATCTTCACTAAGTTTTTAATAACAAAAATGTTAAGCCAATATATTGGAGACTCTGACTGGTAAAACCAGTTTTTTTAATAGTTTTGTTGAGACAGCATTGAAACTACAGCGAATAGTATTAATCGGGCTGACAGAATATAAAAAAATGGTAATGATATTTCGTGGCTTGATTAAAATGATTCTAAAACATGCTCCAATTACTTAGAATAAATTCCGTTATAAATTCGAGAATGATACAATTGCGTAGTATACAGATATAAATAATTCATTAATTGTTTTTATCTTATGATTAAATGCTGAGCATTACCGAATACTTGCTATGAGCTGTCAAATTTAGTTTGATAATTGCTGTGACATACGTCTACTTATTAAATTTACTTAACGATGTTCATGTTCATTTAGACGTCTAATGACTGAGTATTGTTGAGCAATCCTCAGTAGTGTTCAAGGTTAATCATCAAGCTTAATTATTAATCTCAAAATTACATTTTGAGCCTGAGCTAGTAGTATTAACCGTTCTACCAGTCTGTTTTCAAAGTGGTGATAGAAGAAGAAAAATAATCAATACACAAAAACGTGTGTGTTCGATTTTAATATACTAAAACATTCGTATGAAGTTTACTTTAAGGTAACCTGTCTTGGATAAAATAAAGCCAAAGTTGATTATTTCTGTGGTTTAGACGTATTATTTAAAAACACATGCGGTACGATTGTGAAAGGCTCAATTGATTGTAGAGTTTATGATCATTGTTCAGAAGTATTTCTAATAGAAACGAAGCAATTGTCTAGTCAAACATAGTCTACGAATGTTCTTCAACTTGTCAATTTGTGATCACAACTAACCTCGTGTTTATATTGGCTGATTTTACAAGGGAATGTAATTTGACTTATATTCAAAGTGTCTGGATATAGATGCGTACATTCTGTGTTTATAATCA